TTCAGACGTGTGCTCTTCCGATCTCCCCAAAACCCCAAAACCCCTCAGCATTAATAATGAAATAATGAGGGTAGTTTGAAGATTAAATCTATATAACAGTTAAATTATAAATCTAAATGAACGACTATAATCAATCATTTTCAATGGATAACAACGACTAAACTCGTAGTCCTGATTACAAGCAATCAAATGCAAATAATGACATATCAGAATTTACCGAAGTCTTTTCATGGGGTTCAGATAAGAATGGACAACTAGGACTTGGCAAGCAAGTCTCATAGTAGAAGCAGTATCATATGGTTCCTCGTTTTTGCAGCTACAACATACCAATTATTCAGGTTGCTTGTGGACAATTTCATTCAGTGTTCATTACAAGTAAGCTTGATAATTACGAATGATATACATATGATTAAATTATTTTTTAGGTAATCAATTGATTTACTCTATGGGATCCAACAGCAAAGGCCAATTAGGTATTGATGATCCATATACAGACTAAAAGTCATCTCCAGTTTTAATTGAAGCCTTAGTCAAGCAATAACCTGTTCAGTTGTCCTGCGGCAAGAATCATACCGTTGCTTTAATGAGTAAGAAATATCTATCAAAGCATCAACTAATATATCAATAGGAAATGGTAATGTATATTCTTGGGGAGCTAATGATAACGGCTAATGCGGTACTGGATCTACACCATTTCACAGTATAGTTCATTGGACTCCAAAGCAAGTTACATTTGAAGATTATTAGAGTCATTTTATTCAGAGTGTCAATTGTGGTGCCAATCATTCTGGTTTTGTTGATGATATTGGTAGACTTTATATGTGCGGCAAAGGAGACTAAGGCTAACTTGGAAACTCTGGGTATAATGATGAGCTAGCGCCGCTTTTTATTAATAAAATACCTGACAAGGTTTAAGAAGTAGCTTGCGGTGAAGAACATACTGTTGTGCTAACCAGATAAGGAGAAATATATGTTACAGGTTCCAACTTAAAAGGCCAACTAGGCACTGGCCCACCTTCAAGAGGATCAAACACTCCAATTTAACTAGTCGAGTTGAATTTCATTAGAATGACAAGAATCAGAGCTGGTGTGTTCTCTGCATCGCTTTCAGTTGACAATCAATTATATCTCTGGGGTTGTGGAACATTTGGAGAATTCTACACTCCTCATAGAGTCAAGAGTGTAGCTGCTCTAGAAATTGCAGACTTTGAGATTGGCAAGAGTGGATTTATGGCTATCTTAACTAGACAAGGATCTATTTACACTTGGGGTACAAATGATCTGGGGTAACTTGGACATCGAGATTGCATTTAAAGATCGACACCCCATAGAATTGAAGCACTTGATGGGAAAAGAGTGACCTCACTAGCTTGTGGCTAAGATTATGTAATAGCACTAGGTTTGACTTTGCCTTAAAAAGATCTCTAAAAGTCTAAAGAGAGATACAAGTAGAGCAGTTAAAAAGCTTAAAGAGAAAATAGCTCATCAAGAGGTAGACTGACTAATTTGCCAAACAAAAATGATTACGACACTGTCAATTCAGCAGCTGATAGATTACCTCTTAGAAAATCAGCCTAAAAGCATTCAAATAAAACTTCTCAAAGATAGATGTCCAAGTCAAACTTAAAACAAAATCCTAAATTATCAACAATCACCAAAGGTTAACCTGATATTTATGCTTCAGATTTGAACAATAGTTATACTCCATTAAGACAATCTCCTGGAAAGGGCTATTCAACTAACAAATCAAATAGACATCTCCAGAAATCATAATCACCAATTGACAATCCATAAAGGCGTCCCAGATCTAGAGTACCCCAATCTTCTGAAATGAACATCAGTCAGAATAATATAACTACCATTGAGTATAAGCCACCCAGTTTGCTTCATGAGCAAGTAGTCAACTCCTTGAGAAGAGAGAAGGAATCTTTATCACTAGCATTGGGTACTGAGATAAACAACAGAAGAGTGGTTGAAAGTGAGAATGAACAGTTGAGAAGGCAATGTATAGATCTTGAGAGAGAGTTAAGAGACCTGCGAATGAGCAGAGAGAGTCTAGAGCAAGACTTGAAGAATAATGTGCAAAGGTCTAATGTAGAGTTCTAAACTCTCAAAGACTCTAATCACAGACTTATAATAGAAAACGATGAACTCAAGAAGAACCAATATGATGTTGAGCAGCTGAATATGAGGTTAAGAGGAGACTTTGAAGATCAGGTTAGGAAGTCTGATTACCTTAAGGTTGATTTGGAGAAGGCAAGGGATGATCTACACAAAGAATCTCAAAGATATGAAGATCTTAAGAAGGAGTTATGGCACAATATAGAATTGAAGAACAAGAGTGAAAATGCATTGTCTGATTTAGCAGATGAGGTAGATAAGTTCAAGGCAACTCTTAATGACTAAAAGGCTTTGGAGATGCAGGAAAGGCAATCTTTTAGTTCTCAACTTAAGGATCTGAAGTATTAGAATGATTAGTACTATCATTAAACTCAAATGAAGCAGGAGGAGATTTCAAGGCTAAACCAAGAGATTCTTTAGTTTAGAGACTTAGTAGATAGACTGAATAACGAGGGCGATGAACATAAAAGAATCATTGAAGACTTGGAGGAGAAAAACAGAAAGTTGGTGGACAGATTGAATGATCAGATATACTAGAAGGCCACAGAGTACAAGGAAAGAACACTGCAAGCATTGCAGAGAAGTGAATCTCCTACTAAACTTAGAAGAGTGCTCAATGGAGGACAAATACCAATAAGTGATCAGAGATTGAATAGAGTGCTTCAAGATGAAAACAGACCACCTTAGGACACTTCAGCTAAGAAAAGAGGAACAAGTCCACTCAGAATGCAAACCATTGATCCCTCAAACCGTGGAGTTGCGAATTACAACATGGTCAAAGAACTTGAAAAATTGGAAGCCTTAGGCCCTAATAAGATCAATTAATCCTACCACAATCAGAGTCAGGATCCAAAGATAACTCTTGAGCAGCCCTCTACTCAGCTGGCTAGAAGCTTCTATTAAAATACAAACCCCTTGAATCAAAGCACTCTTACTTAAGACTATTCACCACTCAGACAAGGTCGCAGATCTCCTCTAAAGGAATCAAGCCATAATAACCCTACATTAAGTGTAAACAGAGGTGGAGGAGATGTTAGAGATAGAAGTGAGCTAATCGACTAGAACTACAGGAAAGTAAGAGAGAGCTGCGAAAGAATAGCTAATGTTTTGGGAATCAATGCCATGCCTTATCTGAATAACACCCTTTCTGAAAACAGCCATGAAATACCCAATCATCTAGGAACCTCTTAGTTTACTGCCCCACAAGGCAATACTGCAGGCAAACTAAATAATTCGCAATTATCTCCTAATTAAAACTAGAATAGTGACTTCTTCTCTCCTAATAAGAGAGAGGTTGATACTTCAACCCGTGGAACTAACTTCTACTAAGGCTAGCAACCACAGACTAGAAGTGTGATTGATGAAACTTAAAACAGAGACATGAGCTTTGGAGGCAAAACTGATTCTATTTTTAACAGAAGTGACATCTCAAATACCCCAGCATAAAACAAGATGGCAGACCAACAAACGGTAAATCCACAAATTGGTACTCACTTTGCATCGGTATGATTAATTTGTATATTTATAACTATGCTATAGAATTTGGTGAGACAGAGCTTAAATGAATTAAGATCAAAGCTAGATCAGATGAAAAGAGAAAAGGATGCCGTAGAAAGCAGTCTCTATGCCTATGAACAGAGGAGTTAAATGCAATGAGGATTGAAGAGAAACAAGAATAGGAAAATGCCCACTAATAATCAATATATTAAGACTATACTTAGATTTTTCATATAATTACTATATAATTGCAGCAATATAATTCATATTTTTTTTTACTTTAAGAGCTAATTAAGTTTTTTGGGGTTTTGGGGTTTTGGGGTTTTGGGGTTTTGGGGTTTTGGGG